ATGTAAGGCTCTCGACAGTAAGGTAAAACCAGTACCTGTTCAGGCACCAAGAGTAAGGGGTTCGACGTCTGGATTACCCTTTATACTTGGGGATAGGAGAGACATTGTTACACAGAATTCTATTTTGGACACAAAAAAGAAACCAGGTTCTGCAGGAGGAGTGGATTTTCTTATTTGTATTATGAATTCCATAGCCAAAACTCCCTTGATATGCTCCGCCATAACAATGTTCTCTTTAGATGAGAACAGATTTAGAGAAACTCTATGAGGGATGGTTCCAAACTTTCTCTCTTTGGTACCTTACATTTCCCTTTACATAGAAAGTGGTTGCAGATAAGAATCATTTGGCCCATCTAGTCTGCCCAATTTTCTAAATACTCTCATTAGTCCCTGGCCTTATCTTTTAGCTAGGATAGCCTTATGCCTGTCCCATGCATGCTTAAACCCTTTCAATGTATTAACCTCAACCACTTAAGCTGGAAGGCTATTTCATGCATCCACATCCCTCTCATTAAAGTAATTCCTGATATTATTTATAAACCGTTGCCCCTCTAATTTAAGACTATGTCCTCTTGTTGTGGTAGTTTTTCTTATTTTAAATGGAGTCTTCTCCTTTACTGTGTTTATTCCCTTTATGTATGTAAGTGCTTGTATCAGATCCCCCCTGGCTCATCTTTCCTACAAGCTCTTTCCTGGTAAGATCCTTTAACCTTTCCTGGTAAGTTTTATCCTGTAATCCATTAACCAGTTTAGTAGCCCTTTAACCTTTCCTGGTAAGTTTTATCCCATAATCCATGAACCAGTTTAGTAGCCCTTCTCTGAACTCTCTCCAAAGTAGCAATATCCTTCTGGAGAAGTTTTATCCCATAATCCATGAACCAGTTTAGTAGCCCTTCTCTGAACTCTCTCCAAAGTAGCAGTATCCTTCTGGAGATATGGTCTCTATTACTGCATCCAATACTCCAAGTGAGGTCTACTATTAAATACTTCACTACGTATTTCTTTTGTTTATGTTTCTATGACATGCCATTCCTGCCGTCTGTGTGGTAAATATCATTCACACAATTGTTATAGTGGCGCCCTCACTTGTATATCACTATATTTCTTGTGTCTACTAAACATTAGATGATTCTGTACAGGAAGTGTTTATGAAAGCTATGTAGGTTACATGCAGGGAGGTGTGAATAGGGCTGCATAAACAAAGTGATTTAATTCTTAAATGGCAGAAAATTGAACAGTAAGTGTTTGTAGTGGTTCTGAACTTGAAAGTTGGAACAATGCCTGCCAGAATAGATATGTATTTTCAATGTAAATACAATACAAAATTCATAAAATTTATTCAAGAAATACCACAAAAGTTAGTGTTACTCTGGTGGAGAATGATTCAAGTAAAAACCACTTAATTGCCATTCATTTATCAATTTCTGGTTTCGTCTGTAATAATTTTTTAAGCACTGGAAAAGCTAACGCCAACTGACACAAACACAAGTTCTTCAAAGTGACTTTATTGCATACACACACACACACATATATATATATATATATATATATATATATATATATATATGGTATTCTTCAACTGGGTGTGCTTTTATTCTTTAGCCAATCAGATGGTTACACCTGGTCTTAATAAATAGAGAGGGTAGTAAAAGGGGGTGGCTAGTTGGGACTTTACTGCTGTAACTAGGCAGATCAGCAGTAAGGTGGTGATGAGGATAGCAGGAAGGAAATAGGATAAAGAACCCAAAACTGTATTGTGCTAAAACTTTAAAACTTATTGTAGGAGTTTAATCACTAATCACTAACATGTTAAAGGGACACTATAGTCACCAGAACAATTACAGCTTAATGTAGTTGTTCTGGTGAGTATAATAGCTCCCTTCAGGCATTTTCATGTAAACACTGCCTTTACATAGAAAAGGCATTGTTTACATTGCCCCTAGGGACACCTCCAAGTGGCCACACCTTAGATGGCCACTGGAGGGTTTTCCTGGCTCCGGGCTGCACAGTAGGCAGCCCTGCCATGAATTTTCCTCATAGAGATGCATTGATTCAATTCATCTCTATGAGGAGGTGCTGATTGGCAAAAACAGCATTTGATCCCCAACCCCCTTGCTGATTTTAGCCAATCCAATGCTTTCACCATGGGAAAGCATTGGATGGGCTAAAAATCGGCAATTTTGATGATGTCACTAAGGGGGCGGGACAGCGCCGGCGGACCCATGGAGAGCTAAAAATAAGGTGAGTTTTAACCCATTCTGAGAGGCTAAGGGGGGGAGCAAGCCACCTAAATGGTGGGATTTCACAATAGGGTCAGGAATACATGTTTGTGTTCCTGACCCTATAGTGATCCTTTAAAAAAATCAAGGAGAATAAAAATAATCAAATACCATCAGTGGAAAAAGGTTATTAATTAATAGTGGGATTTCCTCAGTTAATAACACTATTCTGATCTTCACAAACTAACATTGCTGAAATAATGACCAACATAATGGTCATTTTGTGCTGAAATAATGACAAACAAAATGGTCATTAGATTATATCACAGAGTAAAGGGTACAAACAGTCAATTCAATCCAATTAGCTGCATTAAGTGCATCTTGGTAACAATAGAGGGCAATAGAGGGCAAAATCAACCTACCACCAACAGTAAGTCTTCTTAGATGTTCAATTGCCGGGAACTGGATCTGGTCTGAGAGCCAATAGTCCAGGGGAAGTGTACAGTGCAGGGGAGAATGCATTTGAACTCCTACTTGGAATAGGGCTGGCAGTATTGGGGTAAGTCGGCCAGTGCGTTCTGGTGAACAAATGGTTCATGAAAGTAAAAGAATGAAGCATGCAGTGTTAAAGGAAGAGTGTGAAAAACTTTTAGAGAAAGGTCAGAGAGTGGGTCTGGGAACAACCACAGATTAACAAGTAGTTCATAGGACACAATGCATGCACACATCCACAAAAGTACTTGTAGTTGATAAAATATTCAGAAACTCTAAGTAAACAAGCAAGTCTGCTAAACAGTCAAGCCACATGTTCATTGATTCACAGAATATCTACCTATACCAGTAACAGGTTCAAGCAGGTACAGTGTATTTCCAATGGAAATTCTAATAATTCCAATCAATTTGTTGCCAATATCTTTGGAAGTCCTAAATTATAATAAAAGTGTTTAAGAAGACCTAGATTTATGCATAATATATATATATATATATATATATATATATTTTATGTCATTTAACACCATTCAAAGGTTCAGTTTACTTCTTTAGAAAGAAGTGACAGTGCTTCTAAAAAGGTCAGGGACAGTGTGTGCAATGTTAGCCATCATAAGCATGCCATCAAGTATATAGTACATAAATATTGTGACTGTAAGGTAGTAGTTAAAAGGAAATGGGCTTGCTAAGAAAACTGGAGGTGGACCTCCAAAGAAGACCTACTTCAATTATTGGGAAGAGAAGATCTGAGTCAGCATGAGAAATTAGTTTGTCACTAGACTGGCATGTGGTACAGATATGACTGATAAAACTTTATTAAAACTTAACAAGTCAAAAAAGGTGAAGCAATAACTAAAGCAGCACACAAAGTAAAATAACCACTTCAGCCAGCTGTATAACACTCAAAGTTAATGTGAGTGACATATGACAGTAGCCAGGCAAGAGGAACTTTTAGTTCATTTTATTATCTATTTATTTTTACTGAACATACTGCCTTGAAAACTAATTTCTTTCTACAAACAACTAACAAAAAATACAAACTTTTAAAAACTGTAATTTGGTGCAGTAGGGGACAACACTAACTGTAATCACCAGTCACACATGGAGAAATGAATCATGCTATCTATCACACATGTTTGTGTGATTTCAACTGTGTCAGGTCACACAAAAGCAATCTCCTATCTCTAACTCAAATATGTTTTAAGAGCCACTGATATACAGTAGCTATACGGCTAGATATGAAGAAAAGGTAGATACGGTTGTACCTTAAACCTAATCTCACACTAGGATTAATAACACAATGGCAATATATATCTAAAACCTATCTCCCACTCAAAGTAGCTTCAATTGCCACTAGCAATAGTTAGTTCGGTAGATAGAGCAGTAAGCTAAACCTAGTCTTACACTAGACTCAATGACGCTGGTTATCTCCCACTCCAACACAGGCACAGCAAAAGGCAAACACACAGCATCACTGTTGGCTTGTCTCTCTCAATTACTGCTCTTCCTTTTTCCCCTCTATTGGACAGTTGTAAGTTTGTCAAATATATTTTATTAGTTTTTTTTACATGTATTGTAATAAAAATAGACAATAGTAACAGATACAATACATATTAATAAGATGGGGAAACTGGGAGAAAAGTGGTATCCTGATTAAAGCTCCAAACGGGAGCTGAAACGTTGACCCTCTGGATTGACTGAAAATAAACAAACGATCTTTGGAAGACCTAGAGTGCCGGTATTATTTCTATTTTTGTATATGTATATATATCTGATAATAGCAGAAATATATATATATATATATATATATATATACACATACATACATACACACACACACACACACACACACAAACACACACACACACACACATACACAAGGTCAAGGGGCTAAAGGGTATGAACCCTATGGTATAATGAACAAACAACTGGACCAATGCCCTGACCACAGAATCCTAGGGTAAATTTAAGACTTAACATTTATTTAATATCAGTTAAAAACTAATTGTATGGGGGGCATGTTATACTAGCTCTGCGCACATTAGGCCCTCATAGAGCATTTAAGACCCAAAATTCAGGGAAAACCAGCACCAAGGCACTTACCAGCCATGTCCCAAGCCAAAGGCAAGTGGGCATCCGAGAAGCAGGACAAGCTCCTTTGGAGCCAAACAAAGTCAGACAAAGTGGGGGCCACTGCTGGAGGACTCCCAAGATGGCACCGATACGGATGGTGAACAGGCGGGAACACCAGACCCTACAGGCCTCATACTTACCACAGACAGTTTACAGGCGATGTTTGACAACATGGCTACGAAACTACAGGACACTCTGCAGCGGTCCTTCACTGATCTCCGCACGGACATTCAGGCTCTGGGTACACGCACCTCGGAGCTTGAGGCCTACATGGAGGCACATGTGGAGGCCGACAACCGGCTGGTAAACAGAGTGGAGGACGCATGGGAGAAAATAAATGGCTACAAAGTCAAAATGGCTGATCTGGAGGACCGGGCACGCCGGAGTAATCTCCGCCTGAGAAATGGCACCGAAAATATAGGACCACAGGACTTGCCAGCCTATGCCACTGGACTCATTCGCCTACTGGTCCCAGACATGCCCCAGGATGTCCTGTTAATGGACAGAATCCACAGGGTGGCAAAGCCACAATACTTACCTGCTGACACAAAGAGGCGATCATGAAAGCCAGCCGCACACAAAAAGAATTACCAGCCACTTATCATAAGATCAAAATCTTCGCAGATATTTCAGCAATGACACTACGGAAGAGTGTGCTGCTCAGGAACAGTAACATTGCATACCGGTGGGGATACCCGACCAAATTGTTGATACAACACAACAGGACTCTTAACACCATCTGCACACCTGAGGACGGACTGTTGAAGCTGAAAGAATGGGGTCTCAACCCACCGTTCTTCCTACTGCATAACTTAACTGCAATACTAGAGGCCATTAGAGTGGCCTTCTCCTTGGGTAATGTAGCCACATCCACTGGCCACTTAGCTGCCCACTCTATCGCACCACTATGGGCGGAGCTGGCCTGACCGGCACATGCATAATTTAGCAGAGTAACTTAGGGGGCCTTTACAGGGGCCCCTATATATAAATGGGGCCAAGCAAATATGGACTGCAGGATAGATAATTTAGTGTCACCATGATCACCCACCATGTTAGCAAGGGCTGACCTCAAGGGAGCTATAATATCCAGGATCGAAGCTCTTAGCTCCGACCCCCAGGGCACCTCCTATAGGCGCCAAGCCATACTCTTGGCTTACAAGATAGTACTTAAGAGTTTGTTTGTTTACTGTTTTACATTTTATTATGTGTATAGTCTTTATGTTGTTGCACACTCCTACCCAATCCCCCCCTACACAAGGGCATAGTGGGTCGCCCGCACGCACCTGTCATTTTCTGTTCAGCTGGTCCAGACGGGACCCCTGCACTGGAGCTGGACTCTGGTGGGAAGCCCGGATGGCATAGCTTTGTCTTGATGGGATACACAGGGAGGGAAATGCCCAGCTCGAATGAGATGGGATGGGCAGCACCTCCAAAAAATTAAATGTTAACTGGTAACATAGATACTTCCCACACATGCCACCATAAAGATCTACAGTCATAACGTAAGAGGGCTGAATCTTCCAGTGCAGAGGCATCTCTTGGGGAGGGACATACGACACAGCGATGCCGATATGGTATGCCTGCAAGAGACCCACACCCACGTATTCTATCTGAAAATTTCCCCCATCAATATTATCACTCTACATCACAAACCAAATCTAAAGGGGTCTCCACCCTCATAAGTCGGCAGGTACCCTTCGAACCAATTTTGGAGGACGTAGACAGGGAAAGGAAATGTGTCATACTCGTGGGATGGATAAATAATGCCCTCTACACAATAGCGAATATATACGCACCTAACACAAATCAAAGAAACTTCTTACACATGATAATACGCAAGGTATCCGGCATCCAACAGGGGATAACTATAATCAGCGGAGACATGAACCATGTCCTAGACCCCGCAATGGACACCACACTCTCTCATAGGAGTCCCAGATGCAAACCACTTAGGCATCAATGCGCAACCCTGGAGAAGCTTTTAACATTACACCATTATTATGATGTGTGGAGAGTCGCACACCCTGACGATAGGGAATATACACACTACTCAACAGTCCATAACACCTACTCAAGGATCGACGGGTTCCTGATGGGAGGCGCAACACTGGGACAGGTAGTCGAATGCAGGGTGGGTCAAATTGTGTGGTCAGACCATGCAGCGGTAGAATTGACCCTCAAAGACTCTTACGTCTTCAAACATAGGAGCCCATGGAGGCTCAACGATTCCCTTCTGACTGACCAGACATTTACAGATGACCTGACTGCCTCCCTACACCAATATTTTGAGGAAAATGCCAACCCCTCACTGTCACACCACATGGTTTGGCAGGCACATAAAGCGGTCACACGAGGAATCCTCATAAAACTGTAACGGCTTACCTTGGTTGGGAGTCTGTAGCGCAGATATATGCTCACCCTTGCAATTAAACACAGGCCAACTTTGTCATGTAAGAACTCACCTGGCCTGTGAGTCTGTGCACGGGGGCTGTGCAGGTTAATGCTCCAAGTCGCAGTACAGAAAGAACATAAACAGGAGAATCATTGTGGGTAAGCCAGAGGTCAGTGAGTGCCAGAAATCAGGATAAACGAGTAGAGAGCAGAGGTCAGAGGATGCCAGAAGTCAGGATACACGAAAATAACAAGCCAAGGTCAGGAATCAACAGGAGAACACTGGAACACAAAACAGCAATACAGGAACCAGAGTCAATGAACTGACACTGCCCTCAGGGAGAAGCAGTGTCTTATACCTGGCTAATTGGGCCATCAGTTTCAGGTGTGCTGAGAATATTGAAGCAGCCACAGATAACATCCAGTCCGCACTGCTGGATACAAGGCAAGATAGGACTATAGGCTATACTTGAGCTGTAAGGTGGCTCAGAGGAGAAACAACAGGCCCAGGACCGCAAAGTACCCAGCTTCAAATCCCTTGTTGGGCACTTCTGGAGTGACCTCATCTGGCAATCTGGATGTCACGCTGAGAACCGTGACAAAAACATGCCTCGCACCTCAATCGCAAACCCAATTACTATATTGGCAGAAAGAGCTCTATAACCTGACAGCCCAAAACCAAGCCCACCCAACCCTGTTGCTGAGGGAACAAATATCCCTCATAAGCTCTCAAATCCGCCAACAGGCGCTCCACAAGATGGGGTACCGATTGCGGAGACTTAAGGCAACCCACTACTCCCAAGGGAACAGAGCGGGGAAACTGCTGGCTCTAAGATTAAAAAAAACAGCAGAAGTGCAGTAATGAGTTTGCGAGATACTATTCCGATCTCTACAATCTCAAACACGACTCAGCCACTCGCACCCCCTCGGCCTCGGACATAGCAACATATTTAGACAAAGTTAACCTACCTACCCTGACAGACCACCAGCGAGAAGTACTGTCCCAACCCATCACCGTGGAGGAGGTCGTTGCCGCGATAAAAACCTTGCCAAAAGGCAAAGCTCCTATTATACCAAATTCCAAGACATATTAGAGCCTCAGCTGGCAGAGGTTTTTGGGGAGGCCGTACGGGGGGAATCACTCCCTGAGGAAATTCAGCTGGTTCACATTGTTACCCTTCCCAAGCCAGGGAAACCGCCAACGTGCCCACAGAATTTTAGACCAATCTCGCTCCTGAATACGGACGCAAAACTCCTAGCCAAACTTTATGCGATGAGACTGAGGCTTATACTCCCCCATATCGTACATGATGACCAAGTGGGGTTAGTGATGGGAAGACATGGGGCAGACAACACGAGTAAAGTCCTAAGTGTAATGAAAGCCTTAAAGCATCAGGGAGAGGGAAGCTACTGCTCTCTCTTGATGCAGAAAAGGCCTTTGACCAGCTGGGATGGCGATTCCTGGAGGCAGTCCTCCTCAAGTTTGGGCTCCCGGAGAACTTCATCTCGGCGGTCGGGGCCCTATACTTGGCACCAACAGCACGAATCCTAAACTCTGGATTTGTATCAGACAAATTTAAATTCACTAATGGAACTAGATAAGGGTGCCCCCTATCACCCCTGCTCTATGTCTTAGCACTGGAGCCACTAGCCTCAGGGATACATGCAAACCCATCCATACATGGTATACCTATCGGTGACAAAACATACACTTTAATTCTATTCGCGGACGACATCCTCTTGACCCTGACGCAACCCCACATATCACTCCCAAATCTACTACAGTGCATACAAGACTACAACTCCTACTACAGACTCAACTTGACTAAAACACAGGCATTGGGACTAAATCTCCCGGGACCCACCCTGCAGACCCTCAAGGCTTCCTTTAACTTTGACTGGCGGGATGTCTACATCATTTTCCTGGGGATCAGACTAGCCAAAATGACACACCTCTTACACAAATACAACTATGAGAAACTATACAGGGAGATAGTGCAAACACTTGAATCTTGGAACAGTGACTTCATATCCTGGTATGGGAGAACGGCGGCGTTCAAAATGTCGCTACTCCCAAAATTACAATATTTGTTCCGCACGCTCGTCCCATTATCTAAACAATTCTTGATGGCAATACAAAAAGCCATGACGAAATTTATCTGGGTGAATAAAAGACCCAGAAAAGCACTGTCCTTTCTCAAAAAAACTGTTGGAAAAGGGGGGATGAACGTCCCAGACATAAAACTGTACTACACAGCCACAATCCTCTCCACGGTAGCAAGCACACACATACAACATACCACACCACAATGGGTAGCCATAGAGTCTCACTGGTCATGCAAAGCTGGCCTACACCACTTATTCTGGGTACCAAAGGCACAGAGACCTGCGATGCCAGACATGCTATCAACAACCACATTATTGTTAAACATATGGGACAGATATCGGGACCATCTCAGCGGTCCTGAGCGACATCGCTAGCTACCCCAATGTACAGTATACACTTCAGGAACCAAACCTTTGATCACCACACATGGATAAAGGCGGGCTGCACACATATATACCACTTATACGAAGGGACCACCCTGAAACCGTTTCCGAACTTGCAGACTGAGTTTAGTCTACCAAACAAAGCAATCTTCTCTTATCTCCAACTTAAATCCCTCCTGCAGATGACCACACACAGCCTTCAGGCACCTACCATTTCCAAATTTGATTCTTGGTGCCTCAAGGGTATACCACACAAAAAATGTTTCTCACTGATTTATACAACATTACTTGACAACACAGTAACGCCCACAGAAAAATACATCCAAGCATGGCACGACGACATAGGCCGCACCTTCACGTCTGATTAATGGAGCAGAGCACACACAATACATAAAGGAAACACAGCATGCATCACCCATTTTGAACAACTACGGAAAATACAATATAGATGGTACCTAGTCCCAACGAGACTGGCACGCATATTCCCTGGCACCCCCAGCCACTGCTGGCGTTGCCAATCTGAGACAGGCTCACTGTATCACATTTGGTGGACGTGTGAACTCATCCGTCCCTATTGGGCCGGGGTGAGCGAAAACCTTACCCACCTCATACCAATACCAATAGAATTAACCCCCGAGGTATGCCTCTTGTACATATGGCCGGAAAATCTATCTAAGGTCCAT